CACTTTACAGTTTTATCTATGAAGTAGTTACAGTGGCGAGATAGCACATTTTCACTCACTACTATCATTTGTTAAAAATTAAAACAAGAATTTGAAGTATTTTATATGTAGATAAAGGTGTGTGTTTTAAAATTACTCAACAGGATATATTTGTGACTTATTTGCTCATGGCATTTTATCACAGGTTCTAACAAGAGCCATTCCCAATCTCTAGAAAAATGGCCACAAATTGTGAACCAATTAATTGGGGAATGCTGCTGGAAGAAGGAATGCCATTTTCTGCCTTTTGTTTATTGCCTGAATGTTTTACAAAACAGTTCCCAACTCAAATGTTACAATTATCCATTCATTCAGTCATAAAAATTCTATAAATCAAACACTAACTTTATTTCTATTTTAAAAGTCTATTCACCATCCCCTCCCCACAAAAATCTATCTATTCCCTGAAGCCCTTGCAAAAAAGTAACAAAGGAAAATATTTAAAATTCATTAAGTGAAAAGTAAACCATATTGTTATAATTGCAATAGTAAAAATATGTATGTGTAAACAGGAAAAAATTTAAATAGTTGTATGGTTGGTTGAGTTTGCAGCATTAGTTTTTTTTGTTTTTGTTTTTTTAATATATTTTCATTGATTTCAGGGAGGAACGAAGAGGGAGAGAAATAGAAACATCAATGAGAGAGAATCATTGATTGGCTGCCTCTTGCATGCCCCTGCTGGGGATTGAGCCCACAACCCAGGCATATGCCCTTGATTGGAATTGAACCTGGGACCCTTCAGTCCACAGGGCAATGCGCTATCCACCAAGCCAAACCAGATAGGCCAGATTAGCTTTTTAAAAATGATTTATTTTAATACTGCTGTTACAGTACTCTTTAATCATTTTCTCCTAAATTTTTTTAAAAATTTATTTATTGATTCTAGAGCAAAAGAAGGGGGGGGGAGAGAAAGAGGGAGGGAGGAAAGAAGGGAGTTAGGGAGGGAGAGAAAGAGAGAGAGAGTGAGAGTGAGAGAGGAAGAGAGAGGTTTGTTGTTCACTTATTTGTGCAATCATTTGTTGCTTCTTGTTTGTGCCCTGACTGGTGTTCATCCCACAATACTGGCTTTGAGACGATGCTATAACCAACTGAGCTACCCTGCCAGGGCTTAATCATTTTCTTTAGTTATTATGAATAGAACAATATTTAAAACTATTCCTGATTCCCTTTTAAATAACAAATACACCAATAAACCCCACTGAAGATATTAAGATAAGATGAAGTTTAGATTGCTCACTTCATTTTTTAGCCAGTTTTCCCATCTTCCTTTATAGTATTTCTCCCAGTAGGAATTAAAAACTATTTCAGTTTGTCACGGAACCGACTGTTATGCCCTACGGACTAAATGAGATAGGTATATAATGTGTTTGGTTTGTGAAAAATGCCTTCCAGTCCCCTGTTCTACTTTCAGCTTCACTGTTACTCCAAGTTTCGCCTCACTCCTTTTTATCACTGCAGGTCCCTCCCAACCTTTCCAAGCAACATTGTATGAAGCCTTTGGCTGTGCAGACTTCCTCTGGCTTCTGTAGTAACAGTACCTGCTTTGTTGTCATATCCTCCCTCCCCGCTCCTCCCCTTCCACCATAATCATTCACTGATTAGTAACTCAGGAAACAGGCAGAGAGCTAGCTTAGCAGGGGGGGGAAAGAAAAAGAAAAAAAAAAGGAGGCCACTGGTATCAATTTGTTGACATTATAAAAACCTGCCCTGGAAAATAACGTCCATCTCTCGCAGCTATCTTTTCACAGCTGCTGGTCATGTCCTCAGTTTCACAAATGTTAGAATTGAGTTTTTAAGCAGTTTTCAATCTGTCAACATATCTCATGTTAAAAAATATTATAGGTTAACAGTGCTTTTTATGGATCTGGGGGGGGGGGGGATAAAGATGTCTTCAGAGAAAAATCTTAATCTGATTGCCCAAGTCCAAAAACAATAACAAAGATGCTTAAGATTTCCTCTTAAAAGCTTTTCCTTAGGACAATAGAGTAATTTCATTTTTATGAACAATTGTTCATTTTGTTTTTAAAATCCTCACCTGAGAATATTTTTTCCATTGATTTATAGAGAGTGGGAGGGAGGGAGAATGAGAGAGTCAGGAGAGAGATATTGACTGGTTGCCTCCCACCTGCACCCCTACCAGGGCTGCCCTTGATCAGGAATGGAATCTGTGATCTTTTGGTCTGCGGGTCGACAGTCTAACCACTGAGCAAAACCAGTTAGGGCCAACAACTGTGCATTTTATACTGTTCTGTGACTAGCAACTTAGATGTACAAATATATAACTGTTATGTTAGAATGATGGAGAGGTAAGAATATTTTTTAAATTGAAAAGAAAAAAAAGAATATCTGAGAAGGGAAAGAGAGAAAAGTAAGCATGCCAAAAATCTCTGTGAAAAGAATACTAATATTCCAATTGTTGGAAATGCTATTGTTCACAATATACTAAATGAAGAGAACAGTAGATATGTCCGTAGAAATATGTGGATACAAAAAAGAATAGAAGGATCTATCTCATAATAACACTGGCTAAATTCAAGTAGTAGGACTATCACTGACTGAGTTTGCTATTTTTGTGTTTCTGTATTTCCTAAATTTTCCTACAACAAACAGAAATAATCTAAAATAATAAAATGGTAATAAGCTAATTACTACTAGATCGGACATCCCTCTGGATGAAGCTGGGGCTGCAAGGGAAGTCCAGGTCCCAGGTGCCTGCTGGTGGCCAGAGTGAAACCCAGGTCCCAGGTGCCAGAGAGAAGCCAGGGGAAGGAAGGCCTACTCTTGCATGAATTTTGTGCATTGGGCCTCTGGTTCTACATAATAAAAGCCTCATATGTAAATGGACCAAACAGCAGAACCACCAACAGAAGGACTGGTTGCTATGACACGCACTGAACCACTAGGGGGGCAGGTGCTCAATGCAGGAGCTGCCCTCAGCCCCCAGAACGCCCTGCCCATCACCCCACAGAGGGAGGCAACCAGTGGCAGTAGTAAGGCCAGTAAGTGGGCAGTGCTTTTTATGGATCTGGGGGGGCGGGGGATAAAGATGCCTTCAGAGAAAAATCTTAACCTGATTGCCCAAGTCCAAAAACAATAACAAAGTGTAATGTTTTGGACAATACACTTCTGAACTATAGAAAAAGAATGCAGATCATAATCAGTGAACAAATAGTCTTAAAAAACAAAAAGCTACAAAACTTAAGAGGCCTGCTGGAGTTATGCTCTGAGCCATCAGTGGCACTGTGGCTACTAAAACTTCAGTCATTTGATAAATGGCAAAATAAGAACAACAGTTAATGAACAACTTATTTTATACAGGATTAACATTATTTTTCTTTTTTTAATCCTCTTGAAGATGACTTGTTTTAAGTTAGTCATGTAACTATGAATAAATATGTACTTATTTAGCTGACTCTTCTAGCCTCTATTTTCCTTTATTTCAATCATTATTAGTAATTATAGGTCCTCATTTATTGGGCATATGCCAACTCCCTACTCTAGTTCAGCTGCTGTTTTTGCCTTGATCATTGATGATAAGGTCTCACTTACTTTCAATTTCCACTTATCGCCCTACCGATTTGGCTCAGTAGATAGAGTGTTGGCCTGCAGGTGGACCCAAGGTCCCGGGTTTGATTCTGGTCAAGGGCAGGTGCAGGAGGAAACCAATCAACATGTTTCTCTCACATTGAGATTTCTGTCTTTTCCCTCTCTCTACCACGCTCTCTAAAAATCAATGGAAAAATATCCTCGAGTAACGATTGAAAAAATTTAATTTATCTTATCTAATTTTACTGACACTTGGTTTACATATCAATTGCCCACTCTTACCTTTTACTGCCAGTTTCCAAACCAATTAAGGTACTTGGACAACAAAGGAAGATGTGCTACCTACATAAAATCATAAAAAAATGATAGATGGGATGGGAATAAATTTAACTATTTTTTTATAAACATGATGCTAGAAGCTATGAAAGTTTTAAAATTTGACTTAAAGTTTTAAACTTCAAATTAGTCTAGAAGTTAAATGTTTTGTCAGAAATAAAGCCTGCATCTAATTAAATTCTACGTTAATCACTCATAACTAAATCTAAAATGTTAGCTATTTAACCATAAATACAGCATAAAATAATAACAACGAGGTACATTTTTTAAATTAAATTTACAAATGAAATTCAGAAGTGTCAAAAATAAGCTCACCTGAAACATTTTTCACTTTTCTTCCTTTCTTGCTATCTGTACTTGGCACATCTCCTTCAGTTGACTGAAGGAAAAATGCGTTTTTAAAAAGTCTTTATGAACAGCATAAACAAAAAAAAAGTGCTATCAACAAAAAGTATTAAATATAAAACTTATCAGTACTGAAGTGGTGTTAAAAGATACTTAAAATGTTTTTTTAAAAGCTCCACTATTTCTAAAAGCTTATTAGCTATTTTTTCCTATAAAAGTTGCTATTCATGTTTTTTTTATCCATTTATCAAGTGAATGTTTTCTTACGAATCTATATGAGCTATTTATAAGTAATATGGTTATTATCCCTTTCTGTCATATATTTTGCAATTATTTTCACTCATCTGTTTTCTTCTTAATTTGGTTTGGTTTTTGGTTAGTGCTATCTCATTTCTTAATAATAAACTCACTATGTTAAGTATATGACATAATAAATAAATTTAGAAATTGTTTTTTCCACAACTGAGAATTAACAGAGTAACTTAATGCTAATAAGAATTCCAGCCATGGTGCCTCAGTGATTGAGCTTCGACCTATGAACCAGAAGGTCACAGTTCAATTCCCAGTGAGGGCATATACCCAGGTTGCCAGCTCAATCCCCAATTATGCAAGGCAGCCAATCAATGATTCTCTCTCATCACTGATGTTTCTATCTCTCTCTCTGCCTCTCCTTTCCTCTTTAAAATAAATAAAAGTATATATTTTTAAAATAAAGAATTTCAGCAAAACAGAAGGACAAACAAGTCTCAATTTTAGTTTGTCACTTACAAGGGAAACTTCAAAATGCATTAAAAAAAAAAATCTGTATTATTTTCCACAATGTTACTTGGTTTGTAAAAGAATCCCATATAAATTTCCTAAAAGGGCATTTTCTTCACCAAAGGGTAATGTAAAATGTTTACTATCTCTGTGAGACAGTGATCCAAGCTTCTTCCTTGGAGGATGTTACCAGTTCATACTTGGTTTCAATAACTTGACCCTCCACAGGCAGCAGGCGCAGTCTCCTCACCAACACACTCAGCAGTACTGTGGTCACCATGTATGCAAACCTAGTCAGGAAGAAAGTTGACTGGTCACTATTAACAATTACACCTTAAATATGCCTGATACCTTTCCTTTCACTTGATCACCTCACCTTAACTCTGGGCATTCCTGTGTGCCTGAGAATCCAAGCAAGGAGAAAGTTTTCATTACTGATTCATCATTAAACCGGTCTGGATCAAACCTAAAAAGAAGATTGGTATTTAGTTTTTTAAGTCATCCTAGTATATTTAATTTAAAAAAAAAAAAAAAGAAGAAGTTTGGGGGCTAATCACAATAGAAGGCCATTGGCCTTTTACATATTTACACTGTAAGAACACAGATATAATAATGTTTTTAAAACTATTTAAAATAAAAACTGCTATCACATTGTATTTAAATTTCATCTATTATTATGTTCCCAAATTATTCAATATATATTTTTTATCTCTTTCTGCTTATTATTGGCCTGCAGCTGTATAAAACCTGGGAAATCATTTGCCAAAACATTCGAGGTGAGTTAATTAAATGTTTGACCAAATATAGCAGGCTAATTTTTAACGTGATCATTTTGTATGGCTGTGAATGATGTTATAAATATCCAAATGGCCCGTGGCAGAAAAAAGGTTCCCCAGCCGAAAAACTGGTTTGGTTCAGTGGTAGAGCATCGGTCTGCGGACTGAAGGGTCCCGGGTTCGATTCCGGTCAAGGGCATGTACCTTGGTTGCTGGCACATCCCTGGTGGGGGTGTGCAGGAGGCAGCTGGTCGATGTTTCTCTCTCATCGACGTTTCTAGCTCTCTATCTCTCTCCCTTCCTCTCTGTAAAAAAAGCAATAAAATATATATTTTTTAAAAAAAGAAGAAAAAGAAAAAAGGTTCCCCATTCCTACTAAAATAGATGCAAAACACATTTCTCTGGAACCAATAATAAATAAGATTTTGACACAAGTTTACACCATTGTATGAGATATAAAGATAAATTAAACAAAATTACATAGTAAATATTGACATTTAAGTGTGTTCAACATATCTGTTACATGAGACCATCTGATCAATATGTAAGGTATTTAACATTGCCTTTTCAATTAAATTTATTGCTTAAAATTGGATACATCAGACTTAAAAACTTATATTCATCAATTATGTTACATCCATACTTAATAATAACTGAAGGAAATAAGAAGGCTAAAGTTTTTTTATTGTACACAATTTCACTCTGTAAAAACTTGCAGGGAAAATGGATATATTAAAACAAAACAAATAAATCACCCATTATGGATCATAAAACTTTGTCTTAAAAAACAAATGTTTCTTTGAAAACATCACCAAAATTGATGAACACTTAACCAGTCTCAAAAAGGAAAAAGAATGAATCCAGATTTTCCAAAAGGGATGGGTAAGGAGGTGTCAAACTTCAGAAAGCTTTTCCTTAGCATACAACAGCATTACTAAAATTTCCTAAATTTGATTACATTTGAATCCTAAAAATTATTTCCACATTTTAGCATATATTCCTTTCTCTGTTTTTCAATTTGCAACCTAGATTTTCTAATCTACCAATGCATATCTTTATTTTTCCTATAAAAGCCACTTGGAATATAGAAATTTACTTAATTTTTACTTACAGCATATTTTAAAGGATTGCTATTTCATTTATTAATAGACTTCCTTTAATATCATTATAATATTAAAAGCCAAAATGATAAGGAAGTCCCATCCTTATCCTCCAAAAGAAGGTTTCCTAGTACTTCAACCATGCCACCAACCCTGCCCCTGATTTTCACACGGCTGTTTTACTCTCAATCAGCTCCATATATAACCTCCTATGGGACAATAAATCCTAATCCATTTCCTTAGGATTTTATTAGATGCCTATTGAAGAGGCAAACAAAAGCAGCTCTGTTCTTCACCATTCTCACATACAACACTTATACACACAAAACCTATTTTCTGAATTTGACTAAAACACTTAATAATTGAAATCACTTAACCAAAACAAGAATTCCAAAATTTGACTGAAATTAAAAGATAGTTGCAGAGATCAGGTCATTAAACAGATCTTAGGATAGAAGTGGTAACAGGAGAGACAAAGAGTAGCAGATAGCAGATTCATGAAAGAAAAAGTAGTGAGTGAGCAGACAATATAAAGGGAAGATATAAATGTATCACTGTCTCCTCAAAAATTAGAAAGTAATGCAACACGTGAAAACACATAAAAATCAATCATCACAATGACAGTGACTGATATTTCATACTTGTATGGTGATGGCCAAGTACTGGGGTCTTGAAGTACCACACCAAGGGCATAAAGAACAAGGGTCTGCAAACAAAAATAACATGTCTTCTAGTTAGTCAAGGCCTAACAAAGACAAAGCGACACCCAGAAAGCCAACTCATCCTAAATGCTCTGTTAATGTAGGTAATGAATACAAAATAAAAAGATAAAACAACAGAAGAAAACAGAGGCCATGACTTTGGTAATCTTACAGTGAGGAAGGCATTCCTAAGCCTGTCACAAAAGCCATGAAGTAATAACAGGTTTAACTATATAAAAATTTTAAAAATTGTACCCTGTCAAAACAAATATCATACCATACTATATCAAATAGAAAAAATACTTGCTATATACCCAACAGCATGTATAATATACAAAAATACATGAGCTCACTAGAAAGAACACTGAGTTATAAGCAGATAATTCACTAGAGAAGAAATACAAACTGTTTATATATGAAAAGCTGCTCAATCTCTCCAAGATTAGGGAAAAGCAAATTAAAAGCATAAGAGAGTTTTTCATATAAAATTCACAAAACATATGTGATTTATAAATCCGTAGGTGGTGAGGATATGGAGACAAAAAGCTTTTTCATACATTATTGCTAACAATATAAGTTGCCTTTTAGATAACAATTTAAATTCAACATACATATCACTTTGACCCAAAAACTTCATTTCTACAGCTCTATCCAATACCTATCCAAGTATATAATTTGTAATAATAAAAAAAGATCTAATTTCTATCTATGAGGACTGCTTAAATAAATCATAATACATGGAATACTATGCATCCATTAAAAATGAGTTGGTCCTAGCCGGTATGGATAGAGCGTTGGCCTGCGGACTGAAGGGCCCTGGGTTTGATTCCTGTCGAGGGTACATGTCTGGGTTGCAGGCTTGATCCCCAGTTGGTGCGTGCAGGAGGCAGCTGATAAATGATTTATCTCATCATTGATATTTCTCTCTCTCTCTCTCTCCTCCCTCTCTTTCTCTCTCTTCCTCTCTAAAATTAATAAAAAATATATTTTTTAAATGAGTTGGATCTGTATCAAGTGCCAGGTGTACTAGTAGTCATGATACACTCAATAAAAGAAAATTAAAAAATATATAGAGTAACCTTTCATATATAAATTCAGTTTTTAAAATATATACACATATGTATGTGTATAACATACATAGAATAATATACACACAGAAAAAGATTTATACACTAAAGAAAAAGAACTCATGGACATGGACAGTAGTACAGTGACTACAGGGGTGGTGGTGGGTGGAAGTAGAGGAGGGCATTGGGGGGAAATGGTGATGAAAAAAATAAAGAAAAAATATACAATAAACTATTAACAGCAGTGCCCCTGGGGAAGAGAGCTTTTCTTTTATACCGGTATAGTTTGAACTTTAGAACAGGCATATATTATTTTGTCATTTTAAATGACTGTGTTTTTTATTTAACAATAGGTAGCCTTTATTGGACACTGTAAACAATAAAATTTAAAAACACACACTAAAAGAGTTGAAAAGAATAACTGAATGAGTTAAGTATACTAAATGTTTCCTACCTCTCTAGGAATAATGAATTTGTCGATCTTTCCTTCAATATCTTGAAGCCGGGCCGAAACTGGGGTCAATTTGGCAGTCCGAACAGTCTCACAAAGCACTTGTCGACAATATCTGTTTAAAAAAAATTTTTTTTGGAATATCTTTACTACGAGAGAAGCGGTTTGAAATGTAGAAATATTTCAAAATGTCATTCAACAACTCTCATAACTTTCCTAATTTGAAATAGCTGCATGATAATTCTTTGTTGCTTGAAGATATCTTATCCTATATAATAAAACCCTAATATGCAAATTGACCGAATGGTGGAATGACCAGCAGAATGACCGGTCGCTATGATGTGCACTGACCACCCAGGGGCAGACGCTCAATGTAGAACCTGTCCCCGGGTGGTCAGTGCTGTTTTGTTGAAGAAACAAAAGAATTTCAGTGCAGTTGAACCCAAGAGTATGAAGAGGCACAAGTAATAAAGAGATAAAGTAGAAGAGGAATGCAAAGCTAAGCTATTGAAACGCCTCATAAGCTCATGAAATGCCTCAAGAGTTTAAATTTTATCTTAACGGCAACCAGAAGTCACAGAAGGATTTTAAAATGGGAGGTCATCTAATCAGATGTGACTCCCCAAATATATAAAGATCACTAACTCTGTGACTCTCAACTTGGGCTACATATTACAATAATCTGAGAAGCTTTTTAAAACCACCAATGGCAGATTGTTGTTTTGGGATTGTTTCCAGGTTATCTGTATTTTTAAAGCACCTGAGGTGAGTACAGTCAGACTCTAGTAATTTGAAGAATGAATTGGAGGGGAGCAAGATCTAAGACTGTTGAAATGTACCAGACAAGAACTAAAACTAAACTTCCAACTAAAGTTGTTTGAAAAGCAGGATCAATAAAACTTGATCACCGATTGGTTGTGTTGGGAGTTACTATAATTAAGAACACTGTCCACAAAATATTGAGAGAATAAATGGAATTTACAGAAGTTATAAGTTATGTATTTTTTTTAAAATATATTTTATTGATTTTTCACAGAGAGGAAGGGAGAGAGATAGAGAGCCAGAAACGTCGATGAGAGAGTAACATCGATCAGCTGCCTCTTGCACACCCCCTACCGGGGATGTGCCCGCAACCAAGGTACATGCCCTTGACCGGAATCGAACCCGGGACCCTTCAGCCCGCAGACCGACGCTCTACCGCTGAGCCAAACCGGTCTCGGCAAGTTATGTATTTTTTAATGTTTTTAAATTTTTTGTTTTACTATGATATATGTGCATAGAAAAATCTGGAAAAAATAGTAAAAGGGATAACAATTTTTATCCCTAAAGGTACATTTATAAAGAATGTACTTTCTACACCTTCTACTTCATACACTTTATTATAAAAACTTCAAAAGACAAGCTTGTATTACTCTTAAAATTAAAGATAGCTATGTTCAATGTAATAGATAAAACCTCCACCATTTTGAAGACTCTAACGCAGTGGTTCTCAACCTTACTAATGCTGCGACCCTTTAATACAGTTCCTCATGTGGTGGTGATCCCTAACCATAAAATTATTTTTGTTGCTACTTCATAATTGTAATTTTGCTACTGTTATGAATCATAATGTAAATATCTGATATGCAGGATGTCTTTGGCGACCCCTGTGAAAAGGTTGTTCGAGCTCCAAAGAGGTCGCGACCCACAGATTGAGAACCGCTGGTGCTAACAGAAGCCTCCCGGAGAAATCCATGGCTTCGAGTTTTGTCCCATGGCTGTCTCTCTATCTTCGTTTCTAGAGTTGAAAGATGCTCCTAGACAGGGCTGTCTGTTACCCAGACTCACACTTCCAATCCATTCCTAAGCAGTCACAGCCACTATTTTTAAAAAATCTTTTTTAAATTAATTTTTATTTTTCAATTACAATTGACATGTTATTAGTTCCTGATTTCACTCATACGTGGAATCTAAAATATTTTTCATTTATTTTAGTTGTATAATTTGATGTTTACGCAATTGTGTAACCAAAACTGCAAGCGAAACACAGAACAAGGACACTTCCCTCACCCTAAAACCTTTATTTCCACCCCATCATACAATAGCTCATCCCATCCCCACTCCTTCCCCCAGACAAGCACTGATGTGCTTTCTATCACACTAGCTTTGTCTTTTCTATTTCACCTAAGTGAAATCACGCTGTAGCCAATCTTTGTGCTTGACTTCTTTCACTTAGCATAATGAGATTTCCATTATGTGTGTATTGATACTGTGTTACTTTTTATTTTAAAAATATCAGATCTGTCTTAAGAAAAGTAATTCTATGTTGAATTCTACTACATTATAAGTAGAATTAACTGAGAAGTATATTTCATGGTCTTTTTCCTATAAATATAACAATAAAGACAACAGGGTAACTGTCCTGTTTTTCTTCATGGCAGCTCCTCCTGTCTCCTCCTGTCTTTGGAGCTAGAGGAGGGGGAGGACCAGCTTCTGTGCCTCCCGGTGTTTCTGAGGTTCTGGCAGAGACCTTCTCTGTAACTGGTTTTCCCTATTTGCCAAAAGTCTGTTTCCTCTTAACACGCAACATGTTTTACAGAAGTCTTGTAACAGTTCCAAAAATAATAAAACCGGTCCCGAACATAAAAATGATACATACCACAGCACATTGGTTTTTCATAAGTGGCTTCGGTTTTGTTAAATTCCTTTAAATAATTTATTGTGCCAAACTATGTGGTAGAAATAAAGTTTTTCTTCAAAGTAATAATAAAACCCCTGAAGAAATGCAGTTCAATGATGTGTGCAGAGGGTGAGAATCATCTGTACAGAGGCCAGCGCGGGACGGTGTGGCCACCTCAATGCCTAGCAGGTCCCGTTAGTGAGAAGTGGGAGGTTTAACCTCAATGCCATGTCCCCAGGACAAAAGTTTATTCCAGGTAAACGCTTCCAGTATAGTGTCTGTAAAGCTGTTCTTGAGCGGATGAAATCTGCTTCTCCAATTGTCCAACATTAACATGAAAAAGCACTCTACTTTATATTTTATCTGCCCCTCCCATCACTCCTAAGACAGTGGTTAAAGTGTTCTCTGCTTTAATAATTAGATGTATGACCAGTGAAAAATTTAGGCTTCCTTTAAATTTACTGTGTTTCTCTTTATTACTTGATAATATTTCATAGTACAAATATAATACAATTTGTTTATTCACCAGTTCACAAACATTTGGACTGCTTCCAGTCTTTTGCTGTTATAAATAATATTCTGTGAACATTTGCAAGCAAGTTTGTGTGGCCATTTATTTTTATTTCTCTTGGTGAATGCCTGGGAAAAGAACTGCTGGGTCAAATGGTGAGCATATGTTTAACTTTCTAAGATCCTGCCAGTTTTCCTACAGGACTGTTCCATTTCCCATCCCCACCACCAAGGTCTGAATGTTTCACTTACTTGATTGACAACATTGATACTATTTTATACAGGCTAATGTAAAGCTTTCCCAGAACTATAATACCATATGGTTTTAGGAAATAAATTAATTTTTTAAAATATAGTTTATTGATTTTTTTTACAGAGAGGAAGGGAGAGGGATAGAGAGTTAAAAACATTGATGAGAGAGAAACATCAATCAGCTGCCTCCTGCACACCCCCTACTGGGGATATGCATGCAACCAAGGTACATGTCCTTGAAAAGAATCGAACTTGGGACCCTTGAGTCCGAAGGCTGACACTCTATCCACTGAGCCAAACCGGTTAGGGCGAAAGTAAATTAACTTATTAAAATCTTATATAAATATTTTAAGTCCTATAAAGATATATAGCTTTCCAAGATATTAGCCATTAGCTTTAAATGAGATAGTCAAACTGCTCACATTTACCTTTTAATGATCTCCTCCTCCTTTCATTGTGTTCTTACCTGAGCTGCTCAATTTTCTCTGGAGTAATCGGACCCTTCCCAAAAACTTGGTCTATCTCTTCATATAGTTTTTTCTGCACTTCTTCAGAGGTGGTTAAAAAACAGATTGCCCAGGTGCACACTAAGTGAAGATTTATTTAATAACAATGAAAATAGATACCTCATAGTTTGGGTGCAGAATAAAAAAAAAAAACTTTTTTTTGTATTTTCCTTTTTTTTTTCTTTTCCTAATACAGAAGAAAAATAAATGCTACCAAAAACAAAAAGTAAAACAAGATTGTTCACAGGATCTGTACTTCACTGAACAAAACATAAATATTTATAGATCACTCCCCAAAAGAAATAAGGCAATCTGGAAGATTTCTTTCTTAAACTGGCAAACACTTAAAGCCACTTCTTAAATTATTTTATTTTTTCAATCACCATTTACCCCCTCTGTGCCCTCTTCCACCTTCACCTCCACCCCTTGCAGTCACCACACTGTTGTCAATGTCACCAGAGGTAAAACAGTAATGATAATAAATAAACTTCACATCTGGGGGAATGTTAAATGCTGACACCTTTGATAGATTGTCTGGTTCACTCAACCTTGTAAAATAAAATACTGATTTATCAGTTCACTCGGGAGCCTTAGTGAGATGACTCATACAAATCAAAGTAGCAGGAACTTTACCTATAAATTAATATTCTAAATTTTCACTTGTAATAGTAGATACACTGGTTTAAGAACTGGGACTGCTTATTATTGCTTAAGACAGTGGTTCTCAAAAATCCTTTAACATCCACAGATTCTGATTTAGAAGGTTTGGGCTAGATCAAAACATCTGCACTTCTAACAAATACCACAATTATTTTCATGAACACCAAAATTGGAAAATCCCTAGTTTATGGCTTACTTTGGTTAAAATGGCTTATGGATTATATTCATTGTGGAAATGAAAAGGTAAGAAAATTACATGATGAACATAAAACAGAGAAAATAGTTAGATTTCCTTTAATAATCCACTGGGATTACTCCTGTGGACAATTCAAAGAATTTAACCATCCACATTATATAGTACTTCTTGCCCTAGATTATGTTTGACTCACCTCTACTTTTTCTATATCAAGTACTTTTTAAAATACATTTACTAATTTGTACCTCTACTTAATATTTCTTTCCTGAGCTAGTAAGGACTGCTATAGATTTGTCTCAAATTTTAACTTGAATTTTAACTTAAAATTACTTAAATTTTAACTCACCAATTATCCAATCAATTCCCATGCTAGAAAAGACATAATTCACTTTCTGTACTAAATCTTACTAATAAAATCAACAGCTATCTGGTCCTCAATTATTTTGATAATTATTCACATCTAAAGTTCAAAAAAGGCACATGATGAGTAACTGCCTGTCCTTAACTTTTTCCTACATATGCTTCCTTATTATGGTTTTTGAGTGAACTGCAGAATTTCTGTTTCACAAAATAAATGAACAAGCAGAACAAAAACAGACTCACAGATACAGAGAACATTTTGACAGTTGGCAGATGGGAGGGGGTTTAGGGTATGGTGAAAAAGGTGAAGAAATTAACAAGAACAAATTGGTTGTCACAGAATAATCATGGGGATATAAAGTACAGCATAGGGAATAAAGTCAATAATATTCTAATAACTATGTATGGTATCAGATGGGTGCAAGATTTATCAAATACTGCATGAACGAATGGTACTCTGCTAAACTAAAACTAGTAAGTTATGTAATGTCTAATCACTGGGTTGTGCACCTGAAACTAACATAATAATGTATGTCTACTATAATTGAAAAATAAAAATGATTTTAAGATGGAAAAAAGGCAAGTGACATGAAAACTAGTGCAGATAGTGTACAATATGTATATGTATGCAATTTTGTAAAATTGCAAAGTAAAATACTGAAAGATTTAGCACAAAAATTTGAATATAGTACACACACGTACACCCAGCTTGACTATCATAAATGGTCACTTAAAAAATAACGTAACTGTACAAGCTTAATAATTTCAAACATTGGTTCTTTTGTAGAGCTCTACTAAAAATAAAGTATGACTAGGGATAGCTTACAGGTGTGATTTTAAGTCCCTGAACATTTTTTAATTATACCACTGAACCAAGACACAATTTTATCCTTGGAAGATAGTTGGAAGATAGTATCCTACAGCTGACTCCTTATTTTAGAAAAGGAGAAAAGGCATAGGCAAGTGCCTGGTTCAAGGTTAAGTAAGCTGCAGAGGAGGAACTTGATGGTTTCCTGCCTATCTTGCCTCTCAAAAACTTCAGAAGTGACTTAAAAACAACCAGCCCAATGCAAAGAAATAATCCTCTGAATATTTCCCCTAAAAACAACAAATCAGATTAAAATATTAACTTAAGCTTGGAAATGATCACTTTTTTGTGACATCTAGAGGACAAGTGATTCAGATTTACTTTAAGGACTTCAGCAAAAATTTATTTTAATGCAATAAAATTTTAAAACAAGTTAAGCATTTTTTTAAAAGATCCAATACAGCCCTGGCGGGTAGCTCAGTCGGTTAGAGCATCATCTCCTACACCAAAAGGTTTGGGGTTCAATTCCCCATCAGGGCACATACCTAGGTTTCGGGATCCCCAATTGGGGCTCACACAGGAGGAACTGATTTCTGTCTCTGTCTGTCTGTCTCTCTCTCTCTCAAAATGAAAAATCAATAAAAATATATACTCAGTTGAGAATTTAAAAAAAAAAAAAAAGGTTCAATGGTTCAATACACCATATTTACACAAGCTTACTTTAATTCCATTTAATTTATAATATCTGGACATCTTTTAATGTTAAAAATTTTACAGCAAGAAAAACTGATGGGAGTTTGTATTTGTAATCTTTATTTTTAAGAAAAGTTCCTTCAACAGAAAGAGTGGTAAATGAATCCTTCAAGTGAACATGAATTTTTTTGGGATTTTAAACTAATATTTTAATACTTCCTTTAACATTTTATGTTAGTATATTTTTATAGATATACACAAACTTTTATAAATATTGTATGAATGAATGGAATTCTACTAAACTAAAATTCAGTAAGGAAACTTAGAAACATATCACACACATTTTAGATTTTGGGGGGGGGGGAAACACCTTTAATCTGACAAGAGTGCTTCTGAATCATGATTCCTGTGGCTCATCTCTTCTGCTGGTAGGCTTTAATAACAGCAGACCCAACAGGGTCAAAGTGAAATGCCTCAGCAGGAACCTGAAAAGCTCACTACTTGGCTGGGAAGGTGTCAATAACAGTTCATTTTAAAAGCACTAACTAGAATTCACAATCCGTAAACTGTGACAAAAATTTGATGGCAATGTTCAAAGATGGCATAGAACACCTGGGGTTTTTTAAAAGGTACCTGTGTGAATCAAGCCTTGCAAACAAAAATAAAAAAAGAAGAGGGGGGAAATTATAAAGAGTGTTTCCTTTATTTTAGAATAGCTTTACCCGTGTATATTTTATACTCTATTTCAAGAAGGAATCAAGGAATACTTACATTTTGCAGTTATTATGCAACTTGCCAGAGAAAATATCATACTGTCTTCTAGGATCTAGAAAACAAAATGAAGTTTAGGAAGAATGAAATGCAAGGTGGCCTGTATCAGGCCCTACTAAAATAACCTAGAGCACAGAACTGGGGTCAAGGTAAGGGGAAAGTCTATATTTCTTTGTTTCACTTAAAAAAATCTATAGAAGAACCAATCTAAATATCACATTGCCTTTTTCCATGCAGTAAACATTATCTATATTACTGTCTCATAATTTTTGCAAATAAACTTGGCCTGCTGCAGCAATGAAGCCTCAGGAACCGTATAACCCTGCCACTCACCATCCTTGGAGCCTGAGTCAATTCCTGCACTCACACACACACCAAAAAGCCGCTTCTGCCTATGAAGACTTGCATGTGCAGAATGGGGCTGAGGATTCCTACAATAAAAGCGTGTGGCAAAATGGCTTCATGCCTGTCCTTTGCCTGACACCACCACAGGTATGCTGGGAGTAACAGACACGTACTGGAACAAGCCAAGCTTTATATCTGGTCATGCAGGCAGAGCAGCTTAGTCGATAAAGGCTTATATGGGCCCTCCTATTTTATGATGAGAGATTTTTGCTCAATATTTGTTTCCCAATGCTATATAATAAAACGCTAATATGCGAATTGACCAAACAGCGCAACAACCGGTCACTCTGACATGCACTGACCACCAGGGAGCAGACGCTCTATGCAGGAGCTGCCTCCTGGCGGTCAGTGTGCTCCCACGGGGGGGGCGGGGGGGGGGAGCGCTGCGGTGGCAGTGGGAGCTTCTCCCACCTCCGCAGCAGCATTAAGGACCCCTAGGAAGATGTCCGATTAACAGAGAGTGCAGGTCAGGCTGGGGGCCCCCTCTGAGTTTACAAATTTCATACGCCGGGCCTCTAGTTATTAAATAATAAACAGCTGCTTCAAAGAGCTAAATAACAGGAGACTAAATACTAATATTGTTTATGGATAATGTACAGTAAAAGAAAAGAAAGCCATTGGGTTTTGGAGACCATCTGGATCAAATGAATAAAAACCAAACTCTATAAATGTTTAACAATTGCATTACCTGTTGGTCATTAAGGTTTCCCTGTATTAAGGAGTCAATGAAAATACATTGACTAACGTTCTTTCCTTTTCGTTCTTTTATGATTTTCTTCAAAATAGATTCCAGTTGCATAAGGGCTTAGCGAAGAAAAAAAAATTAGAATATATGCACTTATAAAGATTAAACTTTAAAATATTTCTGTATAATGCTATTACTACAGAATAAAATTTTCAAAGGTAAAGTAGTAACCAACAATTTTTAAAAAGCTAATTTATGTTTAAATTCATCTACTTTCTTTTCCTTCTCTTTACTAAATTTTATACATTTATTTTAAAAAGTGCATAAGATACATATGTACCATCTAAGGAATAATTATAAAGCAAACATCCATAATATTGCCACTCAGGTCAAGAAGTAGGATAATGCCAACACCTTAGAGGCCTCCACACACATATACCTCTTCCCTGATATTATCCACCTCCCTTCTAATTTCTGTCCTCTTAACTTTATTCTTCTCTCAAATCAGGCATCACCCAGTTTAGGGACAGAAACAGATGTGAAATAACAAGAAAAAGCCCAAGCCAGCATGGCTCAATGGCTGAATGTTACCTATGAACCAAGAGGTCATGGTTGGATTCCCAGTCAAGGAACAGGCCCAGGATGCAGGCTCAATCCCCAGTGTGGGGCATTCAGGAGGCACCTATCAATGACTCTCTTTTATCATTGATGTTTCTATCTTTCTGTCCCTCTCCCTTCCTCTCTGAAATCAATAAAAATCTATATATTAAAAAAAAAATAAACTCCTAAAATCTAAAAGATATAGAATAGCTGATATCCAACAGTCAAAAGAATTATCCAAAGATCATTTCTCAGTTCCCATCTTACCTGACCTGTCACAGGATTTAATGATGTTGACCACTTACTTGCAGGAAACACTTTGTCATTTGGCTTCCAGGATTCAGACTCTCCCAGGCTCCAAGCTTTCCTCCCACTCTCCCACCTGCCTATTCTCAGTCTCCTTTGTCTGATTCCTCCTCATCTCTAGAATTTTTTCATGATAGAATGTCCAAGGTCACAAATCAATATTTGGAACTCTTCTCTTTTGCTATTACATCCAATTAGATTGGTGATCACTAGCCCCAAGGCTTTAAATACAATCTATGTACTTAACACTCCCAAATTTATATTTCTAGTCAGGACCTCTTTCCCCTGAACTCCAGACTCATATCTCTTATAACCATCTCAGCATCTCCTGTTGGCTGTATGAAACATATTAAACATACCACATCCAAAACTGAACCTTGATCTTTCCCCTCAAAGCTGATCTCCCTAGTCCATCCATCTTATTTCCCAATAGCTTTAATTTCCAATTACTTAGACCTAGAACATGGTATCCTCCTTCTCTCTTATACCCCACATCTAATCTGTCTCTATCTTCCAAATACAGTATTATTCTCCCTTATTTTATTTTCTGTTGCCTGCCACCGAGTCCACACCATATTATTTCTCTTGTCTGGTTCATTGCAATAGTTCCCTAAGTAGTCTTCCCTCTTCTGCTCTGGGTACCTCCAACCAGAGTGATCCTTTAAAAACATAATTCAGATCGTAACTCTGCTCAAAACCTTCCAGTGGCTTCCTATTTCATAGTAAGAATCTATTCACGCAATGATCTACAAACCAGACAAAATCTGCCCCTCTCCCCCAATCATTGTAGCCTCATATCCTTCTATTCCTCTCTGACTCAATTCACCCTAGCCATACCCCGTCATACCTCATATACACCATGGAGAATCCCAACTCAAGGATTTTGCAATTACTTTTCCTCTACATGGAATATTCTTCCCTTAGACATAGGATGTCCACGTGACAGTTACCTTACCTCTTACAACTGTTTGCTCAAAAGTCTCCTAACTCGGTGAGGCCTTATTTAAGACTATAACCTCCTCACCTCTAGCATTCCCCATCCCCCTTCCTGATTTAATTTTCTCTGCAGCACTTTGCATTTTTTAACACACAATTGCGTTTATTTATTTAGATTATTGTTTGCCTCTTTCCACTAGAATGTGCTGCCACAAAGACAGGAATTTTTGTTTGCTTTATTATTCAATCTACTTTATTTAGAATCTAAAAAAAACTGTAAATTATTCATTTTCATTTATTTAATTGAACTAATGTTTGTGAAATACATTTTTTTATTAAGGGGAAGTACTCTAATGCACCCATCAAGATAATCAGAATGGTTACAAAAACCAAATAGCAAAAAATATATCAATTAAATTGGCTTTTCTGGACTTAGGTTGGACATGAGGGAATTACTGAAATGGTCAGCCCCATGAGAACAAGGATTGCTGTCTTCTATACAAAGAGGGCCCAGCACACATAGGCCTCAATAAACATTTGTTGAAAGAATAAAGGAAGAGAATCCTGAGGAGCAATACTGTTATATATGGAAAATAATCCATTATTCCAATGCAGTTTATGTATTTTAATTTACCTCAGCCTACCTCCAAAAAAGGAATTGAAGCAACTCAGAATAAAGATATTAAAGCATTAAAATCATTAAATTATTGACAAAATATGTAAAATAAAATAAAAAGGGGGAGAATAACTTAGGGGAGCCATCTTAAACTAGGACTATTTTTCTGAGTTTACAAAGTTGTAACCAATGCCAAACAATTTTGAAAAAAAATAAATAAAAATGTATTTTTATTTATTTCAGAGAGGAAGGGAGAGTAAGAGAGAAACAGAAACATCAATGATGAGAAAGAATCATCGATCGGCTGCCTCCTGCATGCCCCCCACTGGGGACCGAGCCCACAACCCAGGCATGTGCCCCTGATGGGAATCAAACCCAGGCCCCTTGAGTCCACAGGCCAATGCTCTATATACTGAGCCAAACCAGCTAGGGCTTAAAAATATTTTTACTCAGTGTTATAATGGCAATAATTTTTATGTTGCTACATTTTTTACAAATATTACAAAATATTTAATTATGTTGATATGATTTCCTTAACAGTTCCTATGTTGTTGGACATTGAGATTGTTTCTGGTTTTCTACTTGCAGAAATAGCCAAGAAATATTTTTCTCCTAGATAATTTAATCCATCATTTATTAATCTTAACATATGTCATAAAAATGCTTTTCTAAGGTTGTACCCTTATATTCTCCATTCATCTTGTAGGCTATACCAACTCTATAGCATTCTCATTCTGCAATGAATGCTAGAATTTCATTTATAACTTCATTGCTTTTTCCTCTCTTTTGTTTAAGAACTTCCATTATGGGCAATGCAGGCGGGGGGTGGGGGGAGGGGGGGAGAGAGAAAAAAAAACCCAATGATTTATAATTTCATTGTTCCAAAATAGCACTATTAAAGTAAAGCACAGCTGAAACCGGTTTGGCTCAGTGGATAGAGCATCGGTCTGTGGACTGAAAGGTCCCAGGTTCGATTCCGGTCAAGGGCATGTACATTGGTTGCGGGCGCATCCCCAGTGGGGAGTGTGCAGGAGGCAGCTGGTCGATGTTTCTCTCTCAACGTTTCTAGCTCTCTATCCCTCTCTTCTTCCTTCCTCTCTGTGGAAAATCAATAAAATTAAAAAATAAAATAAAGCACGTATCTTTTTGTCCTCACTAAAAATTAAGAGTGGCAAAACTTACCATCTTCATATTGTTTTTTCCGAGTTGTACTTTTATCAAGTGATCCATCTAGAAAGCCTTTTCCGATCTCAGACCAAACCTATAAATAGAAATACATGCCTACTATCTAATATGTAGATTTTCTAAATAACAAAACAATCTATGCTAATAATTGAAAACTCCTACCTCAGGAACAGAACTTACAATTAAGCTCTCCCTTTTAAATAAGCTACATAATCATTTACTCCACAGTCTATGAGAACAGAGCAAATATCTATAATAAAAAAAAAATGTAATATGCTAATCAGACCAGCCAGCCGAACCACCTTCCGGACCTTCCAGATGACCTTCCGGACAAAGTTGGGGCTGCAAGGGCTGCAGCTGTGAGGGCCGAGCCCCTTGCACAAATTTCATGCATCGGGCTTCTAGTATTTTAATAATTTTTGTCAAGAGACTTTCAAATTAATTAAACTGAAAAGCCAAAGGTTCCTTTTCTGTCCTCGCCGGTGTGGCTCAGTTGGTTGAGCACTGTGCCATGCACCCAAAGCTTGCCGGTTTGGTTCTATTCCGGGTCAGGGCACATACCCAGGTTTCAGGTTCAATCCCAGTCAGGGTGTGTGAGGGAGGCAACCATTGTTAGAGTCAATGTTTCTATCTTTCTCTCCTTCTCTCTCTCTCCTTCTCTTGTGCTTCTTTGCTCCCTCACTCTCTCTATCTCTCCTACCCATCCACTCTCTCTAAAAATCAATGGGAAAAATATCCTTCAGTAAGAATTAATAGCAAGAAGGAAAGAAATATGGGCAAAGGACATGAGAAAGCACCCCACAAAAGAAAAAAACCAAGTATTCAACAAAAATATTAAACAATGTGTAACCTCACAAACAATAGAATAATGATATATTTTAATCATGAAATATTATTTTTGACAATTAAGTAGGCAAATATTTAAAGGACCAATAATTCTAAATGTCAAAAGCACAAGGAAAGAGCTCATGAATGTTGGTGAGAAAATAGTTGGGACAACGTTTTTGGAGAAACACAGTCAGCGACTGAATGTGAGGTGTACATTTTTCACAGTCTGTGCAATCGGTATGCATCCTACAACTGAGGGCGGCTCCCAGCTGCTGTCAGCCACGAAGCAGTCATGATGAAGTCATTACCTCTGCATGCACAATGTGGTTATTATTCTCGGTGACATGCACACCTTGGTGTTTCAAATATTAAAAGATCATTTGAGGTAGGATTTCAAGTCATGTGTCCGTGGTAGGCAGTTAGACAGATGTGACCAGAGGAGGGAGGATGGGCTAGGTACAAAACGTCATCAGGGCGAAAAGCCCCGAATGCCTAGCAAAGGACAAATGTGGGATGGGACCTCACCCTAAGGGTGACCGTTCCTCCACTCGCTTGTCGTTGGCGATGCACTTGTCCTTGGCCATGCCCTGCGTTTGGATACCCTGACCTTCCTCCCTAGAGATAACATCTAGACCTCAGCCACATTTCAGCTCCAGGCCCAGAAAAGCAGCCAAACCAGACCAGTGACACCAAGCCTGACCTCAGGACAAGCTGCATTGGATAGGGACTCCCTGCCCTGGCACTGACCAATCAGTCATAGAGACCCAGACCCTGGAAGGACACACCTGGAAAGCTGCTGAGTGTCCTATTGAAATCTTCCCCTGGGATCTCCTCTGAAATCTCTACTCTTAAACCCTTTAAGATAGAGGATCTGGTGCACTCTCCTCCCAGAGAAACCCCTTACCTGACCCTCCCCCCATCTCCTCTTCCTCCCCACAGTGCATCATCTTGACCTTCCTCACTTCTCAGCTCTAAGGGCCCCTCCTTCACCTCTCTATCTTGTTTCCTAAGCCCATTTCTTCCATCAATTATTCTACCTCTGTGATTTTCCAAATAAATGTTCTCTTACAGTCTGAGCCTTGGCTCTGAATTCTTTCCTAGCTACACTCAAATACTGAGATCGCACAACCCAGGGCTGGTCTGACATCCCTGATCTAACACACCTGGTGCCTTCCTACTGCCTCCAACATTCATAGTCTGAAACTTTTCTTTGACTTCTACTGATGTTAAGAAATATACGTTTCTGCCCAGCCAACGTGGCTCAGTGGTTGAGTGTCCACCTATGAATCAGATGGTAATAGTTCGATTCCTGATCAGGGCACATGCCTAGTGGAGGGCATGCAGGAAGCAGCCAATCAATGATTCTCTCTCATCATTGATGTTTCTATCTCTCTCCCTCCCTCTCCCTTCCTCTCTGAAATCAATAAAAATATCTATTTTTTTAAATAGAGAAAAATCACTTCCATATGTGAATCAAGAAAGGGCACTAGTAAATCAATTTTAAACTGAATTAGCCTTTCTTTAGATCATATTCATCTCATTAGCATTTTATTGCTCATTAGTTTTAATTCCCTTCTACACAACATAGGCTAGTTCTATTGTAGTTTTTTTTCTTTTTTCTAGAATTTAGTATTATTTCATAATATACTTGGTAAGTATTAAAAGAAAATTTCTTTAGTTATCTAATTTTTAAATTTCAAAAATAATTCTTAAATTTTTTAAAGAGACCACAATTATCTTTGCTTACATTACTGTTTTTAACCCCTAACAGTGAAATTCAACACTACAGCCAAAAGTGGTTTGGCTCAGTGGTAGAGCGTCGGTCTGCGGACTCAAGGGTCCCAGGTTCGATTCCAGTAATGGGTATGTACATTGGTTGCGGGTACATCCCTGGTAGGTGCGCAAGAGGCAGCTGGTCAATGTTTCTCTCTCATCGACATTTCTAGCTCTCTATATCTCCCCTTCCTCTCTGTAAAAAAAATCAATAAAATATATTTTAAAAAAATAAAAAGAAATTTTACACTACAGAACCTTAAACCTTATTCTTTTTTTAAAATATATTTTTATTTATTTCAGAGAGGAAGGAAGAGGGGGAGAGAGAGAGAAACATCAATGATGAGAGAGAATCATTGATTGGCTGTCTCTTGCAAGCCCCCCAGTAAGGATGGAGCCTATAACCCGGGCATGTGCCCTTGACCGGCATAGAACCTGGGACCTTTCTGTTCACAGAGTGGTGCTCTATCTACTGAGCCAAACCAGCTAGGACTAAACCTTATTCTTGAGAGGCAAAAATCTACATTATTTAACTATTAATTTGATGAGAGAATAATTTTAAATTTGGTCCTGGACTTACTGTGCCATGATTCTTCTGGAAGCGAATGACTTCCTGGTCATCTTCAAATGTACTACCCATTACCATCTGTGTAGCAGACTTCATAGCAAAGCCAAGCATATGCTGGCAAAGGGGTATGTGCTGGGACTCTGGGTAGGAGAGCCATTTATTTAATAATTCTTCTGAAAGCTGAAAGAGAACAGAAGCCCACATGATTTATTGTTCCCTCCTGCTAAATCATAGAAAAATTCAGCAAATAAATTCATTTCACAGAATACAGAGCTCAATTCTGTAACGAGCATTCAGGTGATTGGTTAATCTGTCGGGCTAACACTGGCTCCACCTAAAATTACATCCTCAGTAATTCAGACTGATATTCTGTCAAAGGGTTGGTTTGCAAATCAAAACAGAACCAGGACCACCACCACCACAACAAAATACATATTTTTAAAGTTCAAAGGCTGGTAAAATCTTAATGCTAATGGAAATTGAGAGTAAAATCTTAGTATCTAATTAAAAATAGCTATGACCATAAAAATCATATTACCAATACTGTCACTTGTATCGCATAACTGAATTTTTATTTGCTCCTGGCTTAATCCACTTGTTTTGCACTATATTCTCTAAATCAATGCAAATACTAAAAATGATTCATATAGGATTTTTCTCTAGGCAAACACATCTAATACTTCTGTTAGAGGATTATGTGAATCTTGACTAGTTTATATTAGCTAGGAATTCTAACAATCTGTTGATGAGCTACATTTGATAGATCAGAGTTACATATTGACTTATTATTCATAGAAATGTCAAAATCTATGATAAATTCTTTCATTCATAATAGACTTCTTTTTAAAATATCCTTTCTATGCCCTGGCTGGTTTAGCTCAGTGGATAGAGCGTCAGCCTGCAAAGTGAAGGATCTCAGGTTTGATTCCAGTCAAGGGCATGTATCTTGGTTGCGGGCACATCCCCAGTAAAGGTTGTGCAGGAGGCAGCTGATGGATGTTTCTCTCTCATCGATGTTTCTAACTCTCTATCCTTCTCCCTTCCTCTCTGTGAGAGATTCAATAAAATATATATTTTTTTTAAAAAGGGTTCATCTTCTCTCCCCTCCTCCCCTGCCAAAAAAAAAAAAAAAATCCTTTCTAGCCGAAACCGGTTTGGCTCAGTGGATAGAGTGTCGGCCTGCGGACTGAAAGGTCCCAAGTTTGATTCTGGTCAAGGGCATGTGCCTTGGTTGCGAGCACATCCCCAGTGGGGGGTGTGCAGGAGGCAGCTAATCGATGATTCTCTCTCACTGATGTTTCTAACTCTCTATTCCTCTCTCTTCCTCTCTGTAAAAAATCAATAAAATATATTTTTTAAGAAAATATATCCTTTCTAATTTTGCCAGGTGTTATATATGTATATTTACATAAAAAACAGTACTACCCTGTGGTTGAATCACAAGAATGTATCTATGCTGGAATATCCTTTTACCAGCTATATTTATATGATAAATAAATTATATATATATATGATACATAAACTGTAAAGACCAAAAAAAGTATGCTACTGATTTTATCATTTATCCTGAATAAGGACACATGATACACAATAACTTACTTCTTCAGAATATTCACATTAAAATATTAATTTTATTAATTCATATTAATTTTATTAATTCATATTAATTCATATTAATTAAAGTAACATAAAATTATATTAGAAAAAAACAAGTCAGTCTACCTAGAAACTGACTTACAATTCAAAAGATAAGATTTTAGAGTATATATCACTTTTCTTAAAGAATGCAAGCTTTTTTGGAAAAAAGTTTTTAGGTAATTAATCAGTAATAATTGTAAAAATGTTAGAATTTCAGAGAAAGCAGATTCTTTTTAATTCCACCTTGCATTAAGATATTACTGTGACTGCAATACTAAAAAAAGGTTTTTAAAAAGAAAAGAAAAAATCGCTAGCCAAGCAAAACTACATTCCAGGGTAGCAGAACCAAGCCATAGAGCAGCAATGTGCCAGACTGGGATCAAATCCTAGTCCTACTATTTACTAGCTATATGTCCTTGGACAAGTAACTTAACCACTCTGTGCTTCGGTTCCTTCAGCTAAAAAGAGGAAAATAACAATATATACCTATGAAGTTCTAATGAGGATTAAATGAGGTCATGAAGCTATTGATCCAATGAACTCAATAATTTTCGCTATTAATATTATTGCTAAGCTGTCAATTAGAAGGATAGTAATAAATTCTAAAATCCAGAAGTACCTGTTAAGTCAGAATTTAGACTCAAAGCCGCATAATATTGGATTAAAGCACACAGAGGGAGAAGTTACACTCACAGAATTAAAGTGGAGGTAACACGCAGCCTTGGAGCAGAGACAGTCAGGGCAGGAAGGAGTCAGAGCACACAGGATGAGGTGTGTGAAGATTAGAGAAGAGTCAGAACAGAACTCAGATCTGGACCCCCACCCTCAAAAAAAAAAAAAAAAAAAAAGGCAAAAGGTTTAGTATGTCAATATAAAATACACAACTTAATTCGGGGTGATAACTCTAGGTAAGCAGCTATTCTCTTACAGAAAACCATTGGTATAGAGCACATGTGTCAAACACAAGGCCCGCGGGCCAAATCCGTCCCGCCAGGCCTTGCAATGTGGCCCGCACCGTGCTGCCATCACTGCACTCCGCTGCGTTTCCATCACAATGACAGTTTATGACTGTTCAGTAAACCATTCGGCCCGCGATTTAGGCTGGATTTTAGATTTTGGCCCCTTCTCTGATTGAGTTCGACACCCCTAGTATAGAGACAGCAGTACTCTTCAATCACACAACAGGACTCTATTGTCTCAGCAAAGCAGGAGGCAGGGACATCCTTAGCAAACAAAAAGGTGGGTAGGATTAGCAACACTACTTTAAGGGTGAAGGTTTGTAACAATAATATGAGGACACAGAGAACTAACAGAAAGCAACAGGTTTCAACTAAGGCTCTTCACAGACAAAAAGGAAATGGCATTAATAAGTATTATTTTCTCTCTCTGTAAATCATTTGTGGAGCTTCTTAAAAATGTCAGATCCACTTCCCCCCAAAAAACAAATGTCAGATCCCTTCCCAGCGATTCAATTCATCCAAGTAGATTTCAAGTAATCTACATATTTAACAAGAGAGAGTGTTTCAGGTTAATTCAGACCATGTTTTAGGAAACAGTGGTTTAAAGGCTACCCTGAAAACAAAGGACAAATCTATTGATATAGAAAAAAATTCCAATTCTCTCCACTCCCATAATTTCCATTTATACAAGGAGTCTAGGTGTTAAGTCTTTTGTTTTCTTTCTGTTTGTTTTGTTTTAGAATTTCAGGACTATAAAGATCAGCTTAGAAAGACCAGTTAAAAAAAAAAAAAAAAAAAAAAAAGTAACAAGAACAAGACACACAAACAGTTAAAAAAAAAATTATTTGAATTGCAGAACTCCAGGCCAAACTACTTATCCCTTACCTTCAGCAGGAGAGCAAAATTACTCTGCAGAGAATCAGTCACACCATTTTCATACAATTTTTTCCTTGTGTAGTTTTCACTCACATTCCCACCACTAGATTGATACCTTAACAATGACTTTAGCATGGTTTCAAAAGGGTCCACTGAAACAGACAAATTAAACATTTATAAGTCAAAGTAATCTCTCTCTCTCTCTCTCTCTCTCTCTCTCTCTCTCTCTCTCTCTCTCTCTTTCTCTCTCTCTCTCTCTCTCTCTCTCTCTCACACACACACACACACATACACACACACACACACACAAACAAAAACAAACAAAACAAAATAACCCTCCAGCAAAAGGACATAGAGAACAGGGAATTATGGGATTGTAACTGAAAGCATGGCAATTTTTCCCCCCCACAACTCCCTTAAGTCTTTCCTAAATAGGAAAAGTTAAAGAAGCAATGAAAATTGTCAAGAATACAATATCCTGACTGGGAATCCCACCATAAACCATTAATACATGCATACACTTTCTACCTTCATGACAATATCTTTGACTTCTTAAAAAAATAAAATAAAATAAAAAGCCTAATGCCCTGGCTGGTGTACTCAGGGGTTAGTGCTGACCTGTGGACCAAAGGGTCTCAGGTTCAATTCCCAATCAAGGGCAGGTACCTGGGTTGCAGGTCCTTTCCCCTGCCTGGGTCAGGGTGTGTGTGGGAGGCAACCAATCAGCAAAGCTCATTCCACTGACTTTAAAGCAAAATTGATGATTCTGTGTAATCAAGTGTTTGAGTTAAAATTGTTTAGCTGAGTTTCAAAAAAAATTTTTTTTCTTTTCTCCTTTATTCATTATTTGAAGTATTTAATAACTTTGTTTTCACACACATACAAAAATACACTGTCATGGTAAACAATTAAAAAAGAAAGTAAAATACATCTAAATCTCACCACAGAGATACCGGTTAAACACGTTAGAGATCTTTTGTAGAACTGTTACCATTTCTTAAGAGAGAGAACATTATCAGACTTCACAAAGAACTGCAGTCCCTTCTTTCAGAGCACACGTCTGTTCATTAGTGTGATCATTTCCACGTAGTTTACATGCTGCCCCCGCCCCCAGTCCCCACACCAAACTATGGTCTCCACAGGACAGAGACTGCGTCTGGCTTTCCTCAGCACGGCAGAGCCATCTTTCTATGACGTGGAAAGCTCTGTGATTAAGGGCAAGAACTCAGGTCAGACAGCCTTGCTTCAAGTCCCAGCTCCATCACTTTAATTAGTGGTGTGATCTTGGGCAAATAATTAACTTCTCTTAATGTCAATTTTGTCTTCTGTTAAATGGAAATAACCATAATACCTATGTCATAAGGTTGTTCTGAGAATTAAATGATTTAACATTTAATTTATAAAAGGTTTAGAATAATACTGCTGGCATACAGAAATTGCTATACAAATATTTGGTAAACAAAATAAAATACATCTGCATCATCATATTAAGGCCTGAAAGTGATATTAAAAGTATTCTTTTATGCAGCCATTGGTAAGTATATGTTTGCTTCAAATTTTCATTATTAAATAATGCTAATGTCTTTTTTCATTTATGTGATTATCAATTCATAAAGTCTTAAAGATTATAACTGTTAAGTCAAATGTGACCGCCAACCTTCTCTCCAGAGGGTTTGTAAACCATTTATACTCCATGTTTCTCCATTCCCTCATCAATAAAGAGTTTGTCAATATTTTTCATCTCTTTAGTCAGAAATGGAAAAATCTGATTTTTATTTGCATACTACTGATTATCAGTGAGGTTGAAATTTGCTTATTGACCACATATATTTCTTTTTTCTTAATTACTTTGTTTTTACCCTTTTTTCTACAATTGCATTTTATTTTTTTATTTGGTTTTTAAATTTTTTTTTTTACTTTAATAATTTATTTTTTAATCCTCGCCTGAGGATATATTTGTTGATTTGAGAGAGAAACATTGATGTTTGAGAGAGAAGCATCAATCGTTTGCCTACAGTATGTGCCCCTACAACTTAGGTATGTGCCCTGACCAGAACTGAACCCACAACCTTTTTAGGTTACGGTCAATGCTCCAACCAACTGAACCACCAACCCCGGCTTTCATTTACTTTATAAATGTATGGGTGGGAAACAGCTTTCCCATTTCTTTTAAACTTTTTCATACATTTTAATTTTATAAAAATACTAGAGGCCCAGTGCACAAAATTGTGCATGGGTGGGGTCTGGCAGGCCTGCCCTGATGGGAGCCAATCGGGCAGGCTGGCCTGGGGGAGGGGCCCAGGCAGTTGGCAGGCCAGCCCCACCCCTGTTCAAACTCTGGTGGAGGGAACAATTTGCATATTACCCTTTTATTATATAGGATAGTCATCAATTAATACACACTATGTATAGTAATAAGTGGCCAGCATTTTTCCTTTTTTTTTCATCCTTTTTCAAGGTTTCTATTATAAAGAAATATTTTATTTTTATGTAGACAGATTTATCCAATTTGTGTTTGATGGGTTCTAGATCTCATGTCATGGTAAGAAAAGGATGTTTATCAATACCACTCACAAAATTTAATATTTAACTATTTTTTCTATTACTTTCATGACTCCACATTTTAATCATTTGAAATTTTCTTTGATATAAAGAATAATGCAAATTTTCCTTCCAAATAGCTAGCCAATTTTCCCAATATCATTTATTAGCTTGTCCCTTTATCATAAAATGCTATTTTTATCATATATACTTGGTTTGTCTACTGGACTATTTATTAGTCTGTCTAGTCCTATCACAGTATAAGATTCTTTAAATTAATCTAAAGAATCTAGCTATATAATACACTGTTCTGTCTGATGGTAGAGGTATTCCCCTCATTAATGTTCTTTTCTAGATGTTTCTTGGCTGCTCATATACATCCATTCTTCCAGATGTACCCTGGAACTATTTTTTCAGGTTCTCCCAAAAATTTACATTGGGATTTAATTATATATGTACCAGAGGCCCGATGCATGAAATTCATGCACTCCAGGGTGAGGAGCTCAGCCCGGCCTGCTCCCTCTGGCAGTCCGGGAGCTCTTCGGGGGATGTCTGACTGATGGCTTAAACATCAGTTAAACAGCTTAGTACTGCCGAGGAGGCAGGAGAGGCTCCTGCCACCAATGCTGCGCTCACCAGCCATGAGCCTGGCTTCTGGCTAAGCAGTGCTCCCGTTGTGGGGGTGCTCTGACCACCAGGGAGCAGCTCCTGCGCTGAGTGGGACTGGGCCAAAATTGGCTCTCCGATATCCCCTGAGGAGTCCCAGATTTTGACTGGTGCATGATCAAGGCTGGTGAGGGATGCGGGAGGTTGGCCATCCAGGGAGGGACCGCAGGAGGGCTCCAGGACACATCTGGCCCATCTCCCTCAGTCCCGATCAGCCAGACCCCAGTAGCAAACTAACTACCGGTAGGAGTGTCAGTGCACATCATAGTGAGCAGCTGAGCCTCCTTAGCATATTATTAGCATATTATGCTTTGATTGGTTGAATGGACCACCAGACAGTATATTAGGCTTTTATTATATAGGATTTATATAGAGACTTATAATTAATATATAATAATATATGTAAAAAAAATAATCACTTTATATATCGTGTCTTAAATCAGATAATATAAAAATTTCAGCACAATTTGGCCCATAGCATAAAGCATTCAACAAATGTTAGCTATTCCTATTCAAAATCAATGTATAGCTCTTTATTTATAGACAATTATTCTTAAAAGATAAGGATTAGCTAATTAGAAAGAAAATTAAACTTACATGTCTTATTGGGGTTGATATGCTGCTTCAGCACATCCACAGTGCCCAGACTAACCACAGGACGCCTGCCAAACCAGAAGGAGACCACAGGCCCGTATCTCTCATGCAAATTCACCAGGAACTCATGCAAACTTCCACTGTTCACAATATCTGGGAGATTACCATCTCTGAGGAAAGAGCAACATTGGACAAAATAATCAAATTAACTTGTAAGAATCAGAAAAATAATTAACCGTGTCAAGAGATGAAACCAAAGGTATAAGAAATTCAAATACTGTAAAACCCTAAACTCAATTATGTCACTTCTTGCTTTCTAAAGATATGTGTAGACGTAAATTTCTCTGATATTTTTAGAGTTCATAATACTTCAAACCAAATAAGAAAGCTATAAAAGAAACATCTGATTTAGAAATTGGAAGAAAAAAAAACACAATTTTTGCAGAACCTCATTCTGAGACAGCAATGAACATCATCAGAAGCTGATGAAAAACATCAGATTAGCTAGGGCAATTTTTCATCATTCCTTCTATCTTAATCCTGTCTTTCTATTGTCAACTTTCTCTGGCTAGAGGAAATAAAAAAAACTGAAGGTTTTTATTTTTACAGCCCTCCTTTCTGTTCTTAATGAAGTTTAGGTTGTATGCTAAGAGGTAAGTTTAAGGTAAATAAAGGAGCCCTATGGTTAGAGCATCAGCCTGTGGACCAAAGGGTCTCAGGCTCAATTACCTGAGTTGCAGGTTTGATCTCCAGTCTGCCCAGGCTTCTGCATGAGGCAACCAATCGACATGCAGCCAATGACACACACTGATATTTTTTTTCTCTCTTTCCCCCTTCTCCCTCCCTTCCACTTTCTCTAAATAAACTTTTTAGAAAGAGTAAATAAAGGAATTAAATGAACTAAGTAATCTAAAAATTTGGCTTAGTTTCCATACCAAAAATTAAGAATTAACTCTACTTGATTCCAAAAAAATAATTACTCACTTTTCATCAGTTGGAGTAATCCCTGGAATTCCTGCAGCTTGTCTGGAAGCCTTAAAGAAATTTTTTGAAATAGTTTATTTAGTATAATGAATTTTCATACATCCCACAAGTCAGATGTGGGACCTTAAATAATGGCTCAGTGGATACAGTGTCAGCCTTCTGAAGAGTCCCAGGTTTGATTCCAATCAAGGACATGTACCTTGGTTGTGGGCACATACCTAGTGGGGAGTGTGCAGGAGGCAGCTGATCAATGTTTCTCTCTCACTGATGTTTCTAACTCTCTATCTCTCTCCCTTCCTCTCTGTAAAAAATCAATTTTATACACACACATACACACACACACACACACATCATCTGGTGATAATATTTTTTAAATCCTATTTTTACTTTCTAGGCTGAAATTATTACTTTTTAAATATGTTTTTATTGATTTCAGAGAGGAAGGGAGAGGAAGAGGAAGATAGAAACATCAATGATGAGAGAGAATCATGGATTGGCTGCCTCCTTCATGCCCCCTACCGGCACGTGCCCTTGACCAGAATGAGAGCTGGGACCCTTCAGTCCGCAGTCTGACACTATCCACTGAGCCAAACCGGCTAGGGCGAAGCTAAAATTATTAATAACTTAAGCTGGTTTCCTGATTTCTCTTTAAATATTATAAGTTGACAGCACTCATCTATTATTTGTTGCTCCTGAAACCTCATTCAAATGAAAGCGAAGAAAAAGAGGAGAAAACCAGGATAAAGAGCAGCGGGGTAGCTCAGTGTCCGCTCTGAACCAGGAGGTCACGTTCCATTCCCGGTCAGGGCACACGCCCTGGTTCTGCTGGTCCCCAGTAGGGGGCGCGCCGGAGCAGCCAGCCCATCAATGTTTCTCATCACAGCTGTTTCTCCCCCCCACTCCCTCCCTCTCTGAAATCAATTTTAAAAATGTATTTTTAAAAAGATATACCGCAAATTCTAGATTGTGCGGTTGCGATATTCCAGCCTATCTGCCAATGTGAACGTGTCTGAGGTGTCCCCCCACCCCTCGGTGATGTGCCTGGTGTGTGCGGCTACTTCACCCCGTTATCTTGTCAGTGGAGCACGTCTCCATGCTTCCTCCCTGGCTTTCAAACCCGCCTCCGAGGACCACAGGGCCAAGCGGAGGCAGGAGGTCCCGAGGAAGAGGCCTCCAGCGAAGCTCAGACACATCACAGGACCCGGAAAGACGGAGAACACACACACACACACACACACACACACACACACACAAAGACGGAGAACACACACACACACACACACACACACAGAGGCTGGAAGAAGCCTCGAGAAAGGCGGGAGTGGCGCGCCCGGTGTTTCCTCCCAGACACAACTGGAAAATGAAGTTTGGGGCTGACAGAGGAGCCACCCAAAGTACGTGAGACCCGCCCGGACCAAGGCGCCGGGAGGCGCGCCCCGAGGACCGGCCCGCAACACCCCCGCCCGCCGCCCGCGGCCACGGGCTTCCCCTCGGCTCCCGGGGCCCGGCCCGCTCTCCCCGGGGCCGGAGAACTGGCCGGGCCCCCGCCGCGCTCCCCGGGGCCGGAGAACTGGCCGGGCCGGCGCCGCGCTCCCCGGGGCCGCAGAACTCCCCAGGCCGGGCCCGCGCCGCGCTCCCCGGGGCCGCAGAACTCCCCAGGCCGGCAGCGCGCCGCGCCCGCCCCGAGGCCCGCCGCGGGCAGAGTGAGGTGGACGCGGGCACACTGCGTCGGGTGGGGCGGCGGCCGAAGCCCTGAGGGCCGAGAGGCGGTTACCGGGTAGAGGTAGAGCACCGCTGCCACCAGCGCCAGCAAGAAGGTAACGGCGAAGATCGCGAAGTCCAACATGGTCTTCCGCCCGGAGCCACGTCTCGGGCCCCCGCTCCCGCAGCCGCGCCTCGGCCAGGGCGGACCTGAGGAAGGAGCGAATGGACAGCGGGGGCGTGGCCAGGGCCCGGAGGGGGCGTGGTTAAGCTCTGGAGGGGGCGGGACGGGGCGTGGCCAATGCTTGGCGGGGGCGGGGCAGTTCATGCCGTGGGGGCGTGGTCAATGTCTGGTGGGGGCGGGGTGTAGGGGCGGGGCCAGGGGCTGGCGGGGGCGTGGTCAAGGCCAGGCCCGGGCTGGCGGAAAGAGCAGTGGATTGCGAAGGGGTGACGGCGGAGCGAGCGGGGATACGGCCAGGACTTCAGGACACGCCCGCGACGTGGGGACGGAGTTCCTGTGGAAAGCAGAGCCCAGGCTTCTGCAAACCATTAGCAGTTATCCTCGTTCTACCCTGACCAACACTTTTTCCAGTGGATTTAAGATTAAAGCCTCTCTAGAACAACGAATGATTCTCAGTGTGGTTACCGGGCTCGCAGCAGCAGCATTGCCTGGGAACTTGCTAGAAATGCTGATTCTCCATCCCACTCAAGATTACAGAATCAGACACAGGGGGTGAGGGGGGGAGAGGAGGGCCTGGGGGTGCGAGTGGGGGGCGCATAGCAATCCGTGTTTTAATAAAGCTGTGAAGCGCAGTGAGAGCCACGGATGTAGGGTAACGAACAGGAGGTGTCAGAGTCAAGCACCTTTAGATGTTCCTTGTTTGGAAAAGCATTGATGTTTGAAGTGGTAGATGGGAATCCCTGACACTCATGGTGAACAAGATTTCCTGGCTCCCCTAGGCTTTCGGTAAAATTTATTGAAATCCCTAAACTTCCATCTCTGTGTAAAACAGTGGAAATAATACCACGCAGAATTGTCTGTATGGTTAAATCAGATATTTTATTTAGCACAAATAACCAGTATTCTATTTGGTATCGCTCCTCCTCTTTCACATGAGTTTTGACATGGATAATGTAAGGCAAAACCCGCTATTTACTGGTACTCCATTTAGTGTACACGTCCTACCAGTATTTATAAATTTTATAGCTTTAGTATGGTAATATAAAGTGACCAAAGGAGAGGGGCAGCAATTCAGCAGGAGAAATCATTCCAAATGGCATTTTAGAGCTTCTATGATAAACTAATATTACTATACATGAAACAGCATTGAAAATAGCCAATCTTTTGGCATCTATAGCAAAGGTAAAACACTATTTGAGATTTAATTAGGCAGAAATTCTATTTTTAATTCTAGTTCTCTGCCCAAAAGTTTATTTTTCAATCTATTTTTTAAAATCTTTTTGTTGTTGTTGTTAATTCTCACCTGAGGATATTTTTCCATTGACTTTTAGGGAGCGTAGAAGAGAAAGGGAAAGACAGAGAGAAACATCCATGTGAGAGAAACACACCCATTGGTTGCCCCCTGCACAAGCCCTTACAGGAATCGAATCCAGGACTCTTTGGTCCACAGGCCGACACTTTGCACTGAGTCAAACCGACTAGAGCAAGAATTTTTTTTTTAATATATTTTATTGATTTTTTTACAGAGAGGAAGAGAGAGGGACATAGAGCTAGACACATCGATGAGCGAGAAACATGGATCTGCCTCCTGCACACCCCCTCAGGGGATGTGCCCGCAACCAGTGCACATGCCCTTGACTGGAATCGAACCCGGGACCCTTCAGTCCGCAGGCCAATGCTCCACCACTGAGCCAAACCGGCGTCGGCTAGAGCAAGAATTTTTTATCTTGAACATGTAACTTTTTCTCAATTGGTTTGCCTGCATATATTAAGATGACTATATGGATTTTCTTTCTGCTAATATGAGTTATATACATTGATTTTTTAAAATACAGAAGGGAGAGGGATAGAAAGATATCAGGTAGAAACATCAATGATGAGAATCATTGATTGGCTGCCTCCTGCACACACCACACTGGAGATTAAGCCCACTACTTGGGCATGTGCCGTGACCGGAAATCAAAGCAGTGACCTCTTGATTCCTGGGTAAATGTTCAAACGCTGAGCCATGCTGGCCAGGCCATGCATTGATTTTTAAGTGTTAACCCTATCTTAAATTATTAAAATCTTAATGTATGAAGTACATTTGGTCATCATGCATTATCTTTTCTACATATTGCAAGAATTGATCTGATATTCTCTTAAGTATTTTTGTCTTTGCTTTGATAGATAATGGACTGTAGTTTTTTTGTATTTTGTTTTGTGGAGGTTAGGGTGAGGGTAGGATTATATGCCTTTCAATATTTTTCTCTGTTGGCTATAGGATATTAAATTCTAGATTTCCCCACTCTTTTTTCCTCCTTCACCATCTGGTCTCCAAAGTGACTGCATTTTTATATTCTTCTCTAGCAGCAATGCCTGCTGAGATTGCATCATCAACTGCCGCACACTAAGTCCATTTTTCTGTATACAGTACTCTTATCCACCCAAACTTTTTCAATATTTTTGCATGTAGGATGGGATTTTTCTTTCTGGGAGTATTTTTTACTATTATTAGTTCAATCTTAGGTTCTCTATTTACCTACTCTTTCTCAATTTTCCTGGACTCTCCTTGTTCCTGCAAAGACTTACTATAAAAACTTGAGATAGCTCTGCTGAAATTTTTTATTTTTCTCAGTAATTTGAAGTTTGTAGTGTTATCTGTCTTTAAGAATCTTAAAGACAGGGGATTGCTGTGAGGTTGTACTTATTCTTGTTTATATGTATGTGTGGAGGTTTTTTGGAAGACATGAAAATAAATTCAAATATAGTGAACTGTCATTACCTTCGGCACCCTATAAATCCAGATTCATCCATTTTGGATTTGCTTTCCCATTCCTCCATTAATTTTCCACCTCCCAAATTTGTGTTGTTTATCTTCTATTTCCTTTATCCTTGTAGGGTTGTTTGTTTTTTTGTCCTTATACATTTAAACAAAGGTTAAAGTGCTATGCTCTGAGGATGATGCTGTAAGCCAAGGAGCACCATTAGAAGCTGAAAAGATAAGGAAATTGAATTTTCCTTATAGAGCATCCAGAAGAAATCATCTCTGCTAACATTGACATTAGCCCAGTGAAAGTGATTTCAAATTTCTGACCCCCAGAATTGTAAGAGGACATTTATGGGGTTTTTTAGACACTAAATCTGTGGTAATGTACATCAGCAAGAGGAACAACTTGGTCACTGTTGTTTTTTAATCCTCACTCGAGGATATTTTCACATTGCTTTTCAGAGAATGCGAGAAGGAAAGGCAATATAGATGTGAGAGAAACACATCCATTGGTTGCCTCCTGACGAGCCCTGACCAGGGCCTGGCTCTGAGGAGCCTGCAACTGAGGTACCCTTGCCCGGAATTGAACCTGGGACCCTTTGATCTGCAAGCCAATGCTCTATCCACTGAACCAAACCCACCAGAGCCAAAATGGTCACATTTAAATGCAATGATGTACCTTAAAGGGAGACAAGACAAGGTATCTAATGTTATAATCAATACACACTTAAATACTTTTTAACAGAGATAATTAGTTTTGGGGTATAAGCTATTCACTTCAATTTCTTCTCTTACTAAAAGATCACCCCATTTCCAGGGAAGTATAGGTTTCTCTTTTGTTTAAGAGATAATCTAAGCACTGAGTTCCTTAAGATTTGTCCCTTTATTTAAAATCTGTGTTGCTTAACATAATATGTAATCTATAGTCCCTTGTTTAATAATTTGTAATTTACTATTAATCATTCAGTGCACTTTTATTATGGATCTCCATACCTGTTGCCCAATATTTAAACATACATAGCAAACTAACAATACGCCAATAGTCCTACTTTCATTAAAGTGAAAATAAACTTTATTACAATGCTATATTTCTCACCTCTGATCACATCTTTAACATTATTTCAGTTGATCCCTAAGCCATCACAAACATTGCTATTTTATAGATGAAGTAACTGGAACCAGATAGCTTAGGTGTCTTATTCAGTCATTGAGCTAGTTGATAGCAGAAAGGTAACTTGAAGCCAGAGCTTTTGTTCCAGGTGCGTGCCCTTTCCACTCTATCATATTCTAATAGAGATATATGACAATATCTCAAAATCTTGCCCAATACTATTCCTCAAACTGTTATACCTCAAATAAAAGTTCTAGATAATCTGCATATTCTTTCAGATGTAAAATATACTGGTTTTTAGTATGTGCTTTTTTTTTTCTTCAACCTCTCTGACACTGTGTTCACTTAAGCAAGTTCTCAAGTGTTTTCCCATCTGTAAGATGCCTCTGTGATGTTTCCTGAAAGTATTCTGACCAAAACAAACAAACTTAAATAACATTCTGCAAGTATTGTTCTAGGTTGAATTAAATCTATCTTCACCTTTTCTAATCCCGTATGCATGTGTGATTTGGCACACTATTTTTCTTCTGAAACTCATGATATGTTAAAGGATTTGGGCTATAGCCCAGCTCAGTGGTTGAGTGTCAACCTGTGAACCAGGTCACGGTTCAAATCCTGGTCGGGGCACTGGTGTGGCTCAGTGGTTGAGTGTTGACCTATGAACCAAAAGGTCACAGTTCAAATCCTGGTCGGGGCACGTGCCCGGGCTGCAGGTTCAATCCCAGCATGGGGTGTGCAGAAGGCAGGCCGCCATTCAATGATTCTCTCTCATAGTTGATATTTCTCTCTCTCTCTTCTCTCCCTTCCTCTCTGAAATCAATTAAAAAATATATTTAAAAAAATATTTGGGCTATAAGTTGAATAATATAAGAAGGCACTCATTTAAAAAAGAATTTTATTAGAAAATAAACTGATTAACAAAACAGATCCAGAAACATTGGAACGTGCAACAGACTGATGTTTTTCAGAGGGAAGGAGGGGAGGGTGGGAAGATATTAACCCAACAATTTATATGCACAGCCCATAGACAAAAGTGCTGGGAAGGCATAAGGAGGGGGCGGGCGTGGGGTGGAGGGGGTCAATGGGAGGAGGCAAAGGAGAGCATCTGTAATATTTTCAACAATAAAAATAAAAATAAAAGAATTTTGTGTCACTGGAGTATGGATAGTCATAATTCTTCTGTACCCTTTCCTTAACTCTTCCAATCTCTGCAAAATTACAATCAAATCACCTTTGAATGGATGCAACTTTTGAAAATGCACCAAATGCTATGTAGGTAAAGAGTTTTATAAGAATTGAAGAAATTCAAAATTATTAAAAATTCAGTAGTGAGAAGTTAAAAATAGGTAAAAAAAAATCATAATAAAAAGTTTTTAAAAATCATTTAATCATTAACTGAATGATATATGGTGAAAAATATATAAGCTGTAGTATTACTGTGTAAAACAAACACATTTATTTGATGCTTGGAATGGTGTTATGGATGTATTTAACATTACAAAAGAAAGGTGGCCATAATTAAGCTTTTAACTGATCTGGCTTGGATTGTCCAGTGACTGAGCAATTTTACCAGATGAATTAATGCAGGGCGTTTCCAATTCTAGCAAAGTGTCTTCAGTTAAAGTATAGAACAGTGCATACATGGTGCTAGGCTAGAAAAAGGTTAATGTTCATTTCTATTGTCCTGTTACTCTGGACGAAAGTACTAACAAGAACCTGAAACAGAGCTTGGGTTCTGTCTTATTATGGATTAGGTTCTATTAACCTTATAAAAAACAGAAAGATTAGGTCAATACTTAGACTACCAAAAGTTGATGAATAGAACATTTTTTTTTATTTTTAATATATTTTATTGATTTTACAGAGAGAGGAATTGAGAGGGACAGAGAGTTAGAAACGTCGATGAGAGAGAAACATCGACCAGCTGCCTCTTGCAAACCCCCCACTGGGGATGTTCCCGCAACCAAGGTACATGCCCTTGACCGGAATCAAACTGCTCCATCCACTAAGCCAAACAGGTCTCAGCTAAATAGAACATTTTAATTATGAAAGAAATAAAAGTAAGATAAAATACCAACCTAATGTAGTGTTGTTTAACTACAATTGAAGATTTTCTGGCTTATGAACATTTTCCAGGGAGAAAAATCTAACCATGTTTCTGAGGTCCCTTTAAAACAAAAGGTGGCTTTAAAAGCTTTATACCGCCCAGCTGGTGTGTTCAATGGTTGATCCGTTGACCCATGCACTAAGAGGTCATCAGGTGACTCCTGGTCAGGGCACAAGCCACGATTGTTGGCTCAATCCCTAGAAGGAGGCATGCAGGAAGCAGCTGTTTGATGTTTCTATCCCTTTCTCTCCCTTACTCTTTCTCTCAAAAATAATTTTTTTTTTAAAAAAAGGCTTTATATCTGTTGTTACATATGACAAAAACTTGTCATTTAATGTAACACTAATGTACATAGGACTACAGAAGAAATTCTGCTCACAAGGAAGCAGCGATCAATTTGCTGCTTAACAAATATTGTATTCAATTCCTTGTCTACTCAAATAACTTAACCAAGGTTAAGACCAGACTTTATGAATTGAGAATAAAAATCAATCAAAGAAAGTAACATCATTTTTTAATTTGATTCAAATCCATTTTCATGTACAAAGTGAACTATATACAAAATAAATGTACATTCTTAAAAACTTTTAGAATACAAATTTCCAAAGGACTAAAAAAAGTGCACAATTTTCAATTATTATCTTCAATCATACTATACAGAAACAAATAAAACATTAGCTCATATACACACTGAAAAATTTTAAAACAGCACTTGATGTAACAAACAAAACATACATCTTATATATTTAAATTTAAAAGGATGAGGAAAGGAAGAATGTATTGCACCAAATTAACAGTAACTTCATTATGATTATTAATCAAAATTATTTACACATCCTTATTACGTTTAAAACTTTCTCAACTTTAAAATCTTTTTTGGCATACAAATACTCACTGAGTCACAGTTTGCACAGTCAATTAGATATATAAATAAGGCTTAGTATTTTTTTCCATGGTCCATTCCAGTAGAAAAAATGAGAAGGAACTATATAACTTTATTTATTAAATATTTAAGTAGCAGCACACATTGCCAGTTTTTTAAATGTCATTTCAGATTTTCAGTTATCCTCCTCTGAAATGACTCTGTGCATGATGTATACACACACACATATCTGAGTCACTGTCACCGTCTGTGATAACACTGAAATGCTTCCATTTAATCTGGGTCCCAAAAAACTGACATAAAGAAAAATAATTTGTTTGATAATTTTCTGTCTTAATAGATCCACTTATACAATAATGCATCTGGCAGAAAATGACTGGCTAGCTCCCTGATTACTTTCTGCAAAAATTTTCCTCAAAGTCTTTAAAAGCAAACAGTTGGGGGAAGAAAAGCCATTCTTGTTAGAAGTTTCTGGAGAACAGACCAACCCTATAATTTACTAACAATTTTTCTTATGTAAAGCTAACTATAAAACAAATAGTAGCCACACAAAAAAAATTTGGTTATGGTATTTATGAATCACAGAAAGCAGTAATAGAATAGAATAAGAAAAAAAAGTCTAAAATAGAAAAGATTTTAAAAAGATCTACTATAATATGCCATAATTTGGGGGGAAATATAGAAACTATTATAATTAAATAATTTAAAAGTTATCTAAGAAAAGCAATCAAAATCCCAAAGGAAGAAATAGTTATTCTCTGTAATCCCTAAATAAGAAACTAAGAGGTTGAAATTCTTTTCAGTTAAGTCTGACAACTGGTATTTCCTTACCAAAACCAGTATCTAAAGTGTTCATTAGTATAATTTAATTTTAACATTCTGAAGAGCAAAATAATGTCTTATCACAGATAAATTTTTCCCTTCAAAATGCAAAAGTATCTGCTGAATTTGTAGGTGAGCCCAGTGAATCTTCAAACACATTGCTAATAGAATATTGCAAAATATTTCCAAGAGAAGAAACATCAAAAAAAGCATTTTAACAATAATTAGTACACTAGCTACCATTTTAATACAAATTAAACTGAAATATGTTATTACCAAAATAAAAATTTTAAAGGTCCAATTTGATTAAAACTTTTTTTCAAGTTAGATTTTAATCAAAATATAATTTTATTTTCCAACTTCAGCTAAATCCTAACCTCTTCTATTCTCAAATTATAACATAACACTGAAAAATATTACAAATAGTTAATCACTTTCTATACTAAAAAATAGTTATAAATTAAAATAATGATAGCTATATTTTAAGTGAAAACACACACACACAAAATTTCACTAATAGTCAACTGTGAAAAATGAATGCGTAATTCTTTCAGTGACAAAATTTTGGTTATTATCATTATGATAATATTTGCAAAATAAATTTTCAAAGAAACATTAAAACTATACCATAGAAAACAAATTGAATTAGTTACTTTCTACTTATTCTATTCCTTTGAATTTTCAGTTCATAAAATTATAGACATTAAGACAAAAGTAAATATAGTTTTATCTTTTTTCAATAAAATATTAGTTTCATTGATCAAAATCCTGCCATGTACTTAGAAATCACCCACATATGACAAATGTGAGATAATCCAAGATGTGTCTTGAAGAATTACTATAACGTACCAGAAAAATATTTGATAACATAGCCACTTTTACACAAGTTTCTTATATTGAAGAAAATAACTTAAATCTGATAATCAAGGATGGCCTTATATTATTAATGTAGAAAATGGAATCATTTCCATTACAGGTCAAAATATCTTAAATTTTCATGCTTTATTTTCTGTAATACTAGGACTTTACATATGAAAAATTAAAAATTACTTCCATATAGAAGCTGTACCTGCCAAAGTCATCAGATGTGGAAGGACTTTATCAATGCTTCTTAATTAGGAAAATTCTATTGATTACTAGAGCTTCAAGGTTACAGATATCTAATTTTATTTTGTCACTCACGCTTTTTATTAAAACTTTTAAATGTTATGTAATTCAGATATGCAAATATTCACTGACAGCCACTAGAAATAAAAAGCAATACTTTTGAGGGCAACTATTATAAGTTTCTAATATGAAAGATCTGAAGAGGACTTATAATAATGCAACTAAAAAGGAAATTTAGTTGTTTCTATATCATGCAATACAAAAAACCCATTCCAAGCCGATTCTAGATAAAATGTCTCATTTAAGGATAATGATTAAAACTATTCTCAAATAAGTCTGTGATTATTGTATGTGATTTATAAAAATGAATGCATTTCTATAGAATAAAGTATTTTAAGATTTAATATAATCCTGAGACATTATTTTATATCAAGATCAAGTAAAGTGATTCAGAAAGTCCAGAGTAGTGCCAAGATTTCTGTACATTTATAAAACCTCAATAAGTCTGATTTGCAATCTCAATTAAGAAACAGTGGCCTAATCAGGCCAGTGTGGCTAAGTGGTTGAGTGTTGAACCAAGAGGTACAGGCTGGATTCCGGGTCAGGGCACATGGCTGGGTTGTGGCTGAATCCCTAGTAGGAGGAGTGCAGAAGACAGCCAATCAATGTTTCTCACTGTATCGCTTTTACTCCCTCTTTAAAAATCAATACAAAAATATATATTTTTAAAAAAAAGCTCAGTTGATTGGAGTGTCATCCCATACACCAAAAGGTTGCAGGTTCTATTTCCAGTCAGGGCACATATCTGGGATGGGCGTTTGATCTTCAGCTAAGGCATGCACAGGAGGCAACCGATCGATGTTTTTCTCCCTAAAAATCAATAAAAGTATATCCTTGGGTGAGAGCTAAAGAAAAAGAGCCCTAACTGGTGTTTCTCCATGGTTAGAGCATTGGCCTGTGCACTGGAGGGTCCCAGGTTCAGTTCCTGGGTATGATTCCCTGGGTTGCAGGTTCGATACCCTTGCAAGAGGCAACCAATCGATGTGCCTTTCTCACTGCTCTCTCTCTCTCTCTTCCCATTTCCTTCCACTCTCTCTGAAAATCAATGGAAAAAAAATATCCTTAGTGAGGATTGACAAAAATAAATAAATAAATAAATAAATAAAATAAGAAAGGAAAGAAAAGAAAACAAACACTGGCCTAGAAAATGCTAGATTCAAATTAAAGAAGCATGGTTGTGGCCAACATTTTAATCCTACTGAAATGATGACTGATAACAATAAATTGCCACTGCCTAATGTCATCAGAAAAAGTACCACCAAGTCTCTGATGAAGGAAAACTCTCTAAAACAATGTTATACATGTGGTCAAGTTTAAACAATTCAAATGTTGAGTATATATGATAAATGAATTAGGCAAAAAGAATAATGAGAATTGATATTTGTTGAGAGAGTGATAAAAATTCTTAAGACTGGTCACTTACTTGGAATGAACAAGTTTCAGTTGATGAGAGAAACAGTAATTAGGACAAGCTATGTGTCTGGCTGATAAAATAGATTAGATTTAGAAAAGAAAAAGAATATATTTCATTTCTTATGTCACTCAAAAACTCTAACCTAAAGATTGGTTTAAAAACTTATTTATGGAAGACAAGTTTAATGATGTATTTGAAAAGACCAAACTTTACCCAACCCATACTATTATCGAATACATAAGATAGTATTTTTCATATAATCTACACTAATAAAAGAAATATGCAATTTGACTGTATCTCCATGACAACAATAACCAAATCAGGAGTATGCAAATTAATTCACAAATATTGTGGGTTAATTTGCATATGCAGGCACAAAGTGGCCAGATGGGGTGGGATGCCTGTTGTGAGAGGGAGGGCGGGGGGGCAGAGGGAACTACAGGAGTGGTGCTCCTCCGGAAGCAAGGACCTGCAGGCTCCTGGGCAGCTGGAATTCAAGTTAAAATTTTCTTTGCCTATCTTACTCAAGCAATATGTAAAAAAAATCTTAGGTTAAGATTCAACTTACAATTCTAAATTCTAATTAAGTATGAGGATACACTTATTCCTGCAGAAGCAAAACTGATTTTTAATAACAGCTCTTTAAGAATATTTATATGCTTTACATAGGGAAAAAAAGCTTTACTAATGTTCCTTGCTAATGACAAATGAATAATTGGCATTTTATCTCCTACAAAAGCATGTATCCTTTAAAAAAAAGCACTGTGACCTCAAGAAAATTAATACATAGAAACTTATTCATAGCTATCATAAGCTTCACATGCTTACAATATTTTTAATTATTAGAGAGAGATGAGAGAGAGAGATATATTGTTCCATTTATTTATGCATTCATTGGTTGATTCTTGTATGTGCCCTGATGAGACATCAAACCCACAACCTTGGCATATCAGGACAATACTGTAATGAACTGAACAATCAGCCATGGTCCACACTTAAAAATATTTTAAACCAACTGGCTAAGCTTCATTATCATATACTTTCCTAAATTTTCATGTAACGGTCTATTTTATCTTTTCTCCTCTAATTTTAACTAAGCAAATGACAAAATACTAACTGGGGATAGTTGAAAAGAGATGTATTATTTTATCTTCTCTCCTCCAATTTTAAGAAAATGAAAATACTAATTGAGAATTGGAAAAGAGCTTATAAAGCTTTTTTATTCTCTAAGTGAGCACAGTTATATGTTTTCATACCTAACCTTACTTTCTAAAAGTAAAATCATATCTTACTATAAATATCTCATTAATAGAATGCTGAGAATTTTATTTCCATCATTACCATTGTCAACTATCAAGAAACAAAAGCAAATGAAAAGTACTGTAGACTTTATAACAGACAAGTTGAGATGTATTCATTAACTGAAATGTCCACCTGTTAGTCCATTCTAATGATATTGTTAATATCTCCCATTATATAATATAGGAATAATTTATATGGATAGTATCTAAATACACCAGAATCTCCCAAAATACATCTTTCCTGTGATTATCTAGCGATTTTGATTTTTTAAAATATATTTTTATTGATTTCAGAGAGGAAGGGAGAGGGAGAGATAAACATCGATGATGAGAGAAAACCTCTGATCGGCTGCCTCCTGCACACCCCCTACTGTGGATCGAGCCCGCAACCTGGGCATGTGCCCTTGACCAGAATCAAACCTGGGACCCTTCTGTCCTCAGGCCGACACTGTTATCCACTGAGCCAAACCAGCTAGGGTTATCTAGTGATTTTTAATTCACTGGACTAACCTGTTTAAAGGAGAAATATATTATTCAACCAATGGTTCTACTATATTTGCTTATTTTAATAGATACACTTTAAGTTCTGTTCCTCCAGACTGTTGCTAGTATTCTCAAAGATTTACTTCAAAATTCTACATTTTGGGTTTTTACTTTTGGACAGAGTAATATAAAGTATAATTCCTCTGCTCTGCTCATTTGTCAGTGCAGGTAGGATATCTATTTTACTGTGAACAAAGCTGCCTACTTGTGCTATAAAATGAGTACTGCTTGTTCAGTTCCTCCATCTAAAAAGCAGCTAAGTAAAAACCATAAATTTAGGAATTTCCCTTGGTAATCTAAATTAAACTTTTTGTAACTTGTAAGCATCTAAAATAATTTTCAAAACCAGTATTAAATGACCTTAAATGAAGAAACATCCTTCTATCAAAATATTAGGATAAATAATAAGAAGAAAATTTGTAGTGTTAATTTAGAAAGATTTTTTTACAGATCAACATTTAAAATACCAAAAAGCAATCATGTTAGTCTGCTAACTTGAAACCACATAAAAAATGTAAGATAAAAATTAAAATAGAATGATAAAACTAATAGAAGTAATAAATATCAAAAAACTTCATAATTATCTCTATTGACTTGAGACATTTTCACCCAAATTCCTCAAGAAGGAAACCTATACATTTACATATGTTCTATTTTACAGTTACTGCACCAACTTATTTCAGTGTTATTTATCTCAAACAGCACTGTTTTTTACTGAATAAAATAGGAGTTAAAATAATTAGGAAGAAATTATTCGAATACACAACCTTTTATTAGTTAAGACGCAGATAAAATCTACTCAAAAAGCTTCCCTAAACAGAATCCTTTACTTCTTATAAATTTTTACTCATTCACAGAGTTATAAAGAAAAGGATAGTAGATACTGTGGGTACCAGGAGAGAAGAATTGGTAAGAGAAAACTTTTTAAAGATTCAATTGAGATGACAGTTGATATAAGGAAATCTATGATTTGTGGGATGAAAAAGAATATTCTTATTTTAAGAAGCTATTAGTGTAGAAAATATCTTTTTTTTCTCCTGACCACAGACCCCTTTAAGAAAGCGATACCACTATTCATTCCAAAAAATTTTCTCACTATCTCAAGGGATTCATAAATGCCCCCAAACTCATAGAATCTCAAATTAATGACACTCAGAGTTGTAAAAGCTCTCTGATCTAATTCAAGAAATGACCTTATAAAAGCACTAGGTTTAACATTCTTTTTGAATTCCAAAATAAATCTATCAACCTTTTACTGTAAAATCTTAAATAAAGCATAATGTAACATTTAGCTATGCATAATAAAAATAACTGTAATTCTAAAAGTTACACATAACATGAAATAGAAATGTGTATCTTTAAAAATTACTATATCTAAATGACTAGTTTAAGTTATACATATCTTCCCCATTAATACATCTATCATGTGGAAGACCTACTGAGAAATGTAATATATTTGGGTATTATTGCTAACTCTTCTATTATCAGGGGAAAACGAAGTATTCACTTAGTAAAGAAAAAGTCAAGAAATTTTGAACTTTGAAGATATAAATTGTGCTGCAAATGTTTCTACGGTAAGGACCCAATTGTCAAAATTATAATCAGCATTTTGTATCTCTAGTTTCTCTTATTCCTACTCAACCTTTATTATTTAATAATAATAATACATTTCAATAAAATCTTACTAGTGATTTGCTTAAGTAGTAGTGGAATGAACCAATGTACCAGTTTCAATAGACTTTTTTTCAACTAATCAGGAAAATCTGGAATTTATACAGAGTTATGAAAATACAAGTATGCAACAAATACCTTTAAAATATTACTTCAATCAGGAGATCCAAGTAAATTGACTCTTTTAAAAATATGGTGGTCAGTAAATAGAAAAATGATTAAAGAATATATTAAAAGCCATGTCTTTCAACCGTCTTATTTGTACTTTTATTAGATTTACTTTAAATATTGCTATTTAGAATAAGTATATTAAGTATAACTTAATTTTTTAGAAGTTTCTTTTTCAAAATGGACTAATGATCATTAAAATAGAGCATTGAATATAATAAAGTAAATTTTCTAAAATCTATCATAGTGCGGGCCAAGAATTAGTTAAATAGAATAATGTTAACCAGAAATTTTTAACGTGAATAATAATACAACAGATATCTTTATACATATACCATACCAAATTTTGGTAATCCCTAAGTAATTTTCAGGGATAAAACCCTGAAACATTTCCGACAGTTGGTAGATGTGGTTAAAGTGACAAAGCAGTAAGTTGAGTTTCAGTTCCCCATGAGAGAAGATGGAAATAACAATCAGTTGGAATCTTGAGTATTATATT